CCCGTTGCAAACACTAATCCATTGTCTCCCATTCCATTGTACATGCGTTTTCTTACAATTGCATTGTGTTCTTGCTCTTCCTTTCTTGATCTTCGCCATCTTCTGCTGCCGGACATTACGTTCTTTCAACGCACGTTATATACTACTTATATCAACATAAGTAGCTCACACCACATATATATTCCATCATCTAAAATACTATTTCGAATTATGGACAGATGAACAGTCATTCCCTATGATCATTATTATTAGGATCAACTGAGAAATTATTTACATAATCATTATTACATAATTATCTGACAAACTAACCCTTTGGCTAGTGTTCGAATGAAGTGAATCGAAAGTTTTGAACATTTACAACGTTCAAAAAAGCTTTTAAATAATCCAAAGATGTTATAAACAATAACAGTCTACAGCTTAGTGTTAACTTACATTTGCTATGGAATTAATCACATCTCAGTGATAAACTATGAACTGTGAATGGAACAAGTTCAAGTTAATATTGATTATGCTAACGAATGGTAATACTGAATTCAAAAAAATCTCCATCATTAAAATTCAATCTCATAATAATAAAAGTAATAGTTAAAAACAATGAGCTGAAATCCTTAGAGAAGTCAATCTCTGTCTGGTTTTGAAATTTCATTCATAGCGATATGCATAGAAAGTATTGGATAAACTACACAGAGAAAACAAAGTTTAATTTTGTCTACTTATCCAAATTTATTGATCATTGCTATGATAATTATTCCAATTACAGCAATAATTTTTTTATTCCAAAGAAGAAGACATAATTACAATTAAGACATTGACAATCATAACAGAAAATTTAATAGCAAGATTCGAGGAGAGTGAGATATGTATGTATGTATGTGTGCACAAACTATTAAAACGCACATAAAGGAAAACAACTATTGTGAAGTAGAGAAACATTCATCTTGGGATATAAAACAGTTAAAAAGAAAGAAAAAGACTGAAAAGGCAAACAAGAAAGATTCTTTACATAAATGGCCTACAATTTATAACACCGCACTAATTGTTTTCCTCTCGTTTACTTCTCAAATCTAAAGTGTGCTTACAGTAAATAATTTTTTCAAATTAATTACTTTGGAATTAATTGATAATTAAATAACCAGTCTCTTAAGTTTATACAGTTTTCTTTATTGTATAGCTTCAGGTGAATCTACACGTATTGCTGATATTTAAAAACTATTTACCTTTCTATCCAAAGTCTTATTTTTCTCCACAGTAAGAAGTATTCCTTTCTCTCACTCTTTCCCTCTTTCTATTTATGTATGTCCCTAAAGCTGTGGAACTATTTATACTTCTATTCTCTTATTGATACACTTACACGTTAATTGCAACTAATGTTCTCTTCTTTTCGTCAACTGTTTTTTTCTTTTATTAAATTAAATCATTATATTAGGCAATGCAATTAGCACTGCAATTTAATAAAGTGTCGATCGTCTAGGTTTTCTTTTCTTTCCTTTTTAATTATTTTCTAATTACAAATTGGGACAGAGTATCCACTCGCTTATCAACACACATATATGGACATGGACAGTGAACTGAAAGATAGACAAAAAAAATTTTTTTTTAATGGCAAAAATTGCTGGGTTATATAAAGTCAAAATATAAGTAGAAAATAAAGATAAAATTGAATAAGAAACTCAGGACAAGATAGAAAAGTAAATTAGTTAAAAGAGGCTGAAATTCGAAAGAAAAAAAGAAAGAAAAAAGAATTTAACAATTTTGAAAATATTTAGGCCAATGTCTGTGTCAAAGTTCATATTGGTTATTTTCAACTAAATAAAATGAAAACATCTAAAGAAATTCATTTTAAGGACTAGTGTATATTAAATTCTTCTAAAATGATGAAATAATTATAAAAAGAGAAATCCTGAAGTAATAAAAAAATATTTGCAAACATGTTACATCTTATTTAATATGAAATATATAATAGTTAATAATAATTTTCAAGAGATCTGGAACCTCAAACATCAATTAACTAATATTTCGAGTCTAAAAAATTCCCATTCTACAATTATATGAATGAAAAATATTCATTTCAATAAGTTCTCATCAGGTTCTACAATTATAAATTCAAATTAATAATCCTGAAATTGAAGTAGACATTTATGCTGATGATGTCGTTCAGAAGAATGATGAAAGCCATACGACTAAACTATCTAGCTCAGAGAACAAAATCCCATCAAAGTCATCCACCTGAGCTACCAATCTTCTCCATCATTTTAAATGATGTACTCTACCTTAAAATTGGTCAGTTTTATAGATTATTAATTTGGATTAAAAATAAGTGTAGAGGACATGATAAGAAATTATTGAAAAGAATATTCTTCTTTCATGTAATTGTGTTTTGATATTTAAAAGTAGAATTCATTAACAACACTTGATAAACAACCTGTTATAATATATATGAACTCAAATAGAAAAAAACAACATATATGAATGAATGGATTTTGACATAGTGGTATCAATGTTGATCATATTAAAATTTAATACACTAAATCCGATTCTATATAGAGTATTTAAATAATTATTCAGTATGTGGTTGGAGAAATTAGTCATGCAATATCATGAATTAGTTGAAAATTAGACATTAATGCTATTGGATTTAAGTTCAATGGTTTATGGGTTAAATGGTTGTACGATACCGAAGGCCATAGGTTTGAGTCCCCCTGTGAGGGATAGTGAATACTTACTTTTGAAGACGTTCAATACTTCCAAATTTTAAATGGTAGTCTAACACTGATCATCTCATGATTTCAATAAAATAATTTTCTAGTTTAGATAAGTTCATAAAGAAAACTATTTTTAAATTGTGTAAAAGATTTCTATAAATTGTTCAACTTCATCATAGATTTATTATTTTGAACGTAATGATAATTTACTTTTCAATTATCACAATTGATTGATCACAGGGTGGTGATCAATGTCATGCTTGTCTAGTCCTTATTAGTGCAGATCGAATGCTATCGATCATGTTGCAATGTGGCCACCAGTCTAGGTGACTCGACACTGTGGGCACTATGTATTGAGATTTAGATGGTGGTTGGAGGTAGTAAACAGGAAACCCTGGACCCTGGTTTCGTGCTACTTGGCCCTCGTCAGCAAGGTGTACCTGTAATCTTGATCGATAGCATTCGATCTGCACTAATAAGGACTAGACAAGCATGACATTGATCACCACCCAGTGATCAATCAATTGTGATTACATCTCAGTCATACAGGAGGTTAGTAACGGCTCGGATAGCTCAGTGGTAACATCTCTGACTGTGAAGCTGGGTGACACGAGATCGAACCCGCCAGGGAGCACCAGTTCCCTCAAGATTACAGGTACACCTTGCTGACGAGTGCCAAGTAGCACGAAACCCGGGTCCAGGGTTTCCTGTTGACTACCTCCAACCACCATCTAAATCTCAACTTTTTAATTATATTATGTTAACAATTTAATCTTTCTTTTGTTTGAGACACAAAGCTCCATAATAAAAGTTCAATGTTTATTTTAAAAAAACAAAACAAACAACAACTTAATAGCAATTTTACAATTAAAAGTGGCTTTTTATCTTATTTTAATTTTAATAGTTGAAATCATGAGCCAATGGAAGCTAGAACACTATGGAAAACCTGGAAGCACTGGACTACTGTTTCGAATTGAATATTTGTTAAATAAACTTTTATTTTCCATAGAAGTATTATGGTAGTTATCTAATTTGAGATTTATCTTACATTTAATAAGCACATATTTTATACTATTAGATTGACAACCAATGAGTGACGATCATAATTATAGTTATATTTTTTATTTTGTTTCTACACGAAATTCTAGGTTTTCATTTGAACTTTAACTAGATATTCATCAAACAGTTATTGAACATTGTAACTTGGTTTTATATTAATCAAGACAAAATATTGATAGCTGTCTATTTGATTCTCAACCATCAACATATATTCATTCAAATATTTATTTTTTTATTTTCGTTTATCGTTTTACTGTGTACTCATGTTATGTAATAGTTGGGACAAATGTAAAGTAACTTAACATTTTAAATGACTAAATACGAATACTTGGTTACTCGCTATTACAAATTACAAACAACAAAATAATCTGGGGCTGTAAACAATAGTGAATCATCGAACTGTGGTATTTTTGATTAATTGAGTTCTTTATGAGGTTAAATATTATATATAAATGATATTCCATGTTATAACAAGGGAAATATATATATATATATATATATATATATATATATATATATATATATGTAGAATTCGTTGAAATATACTTAGTTGAAATGTACTTACCAGAAGCACTTCCTCTTTAGGTAGTAGCTGATTAACGCGATTTCTCTAAATTCACAGAGATTACTTTCTAATTAATTTTATTCAATTCTTAATGTTCAATACTCATAATTTTTGTTTTTAATTATTCTACTGATTTTTTTGATTGATTAATGTTGGATATTGTAGTAAGTTTGAAATTGAAGCTATTAGTGATTTGATATTCTCAACAGTGATACTTTCTCACTTCTTATTGACGTAAATGTAACTGTCAGTACAGTTTAAATTTGTTGGTAAGCGAAATGATACTATCTATCAGGCAAGTGAGTGAGTATACCTATATATATATATGTCATGAGATGTATGAGTGAAAACCTGTAAATTATCAGTTTTCGTGTAACGTTTATTTGCTCATAGAGTAAGTATACTTGTGTGCATGCCAAAGGATGAATGGGTTAAAACTTATGTGTTACCGGTATGCATGTGGACTTTACTTACTACGTCCATGTAGTGGGCTCGTGGGCCTCAGAAAGATGATTTTAATCTAACTAAGTCTATGGACTTTACCGAGTGGAGCTTCATCAACCTAAAAAAACTGTACCATATATATAGATCTATTTAAATTAAATAAAATTGAATTGACAATAATATTTAAAAAAAAGAAGTTAAATTCATTATTTCATTTCTGATCAACTTACCAATCATTTCATATTGTTGATCAGTTTTATTATTTGAATCTTGTTCATAAGATAAATCAATTATTTTCATCTTATCATATATTAATTCATTATTACAATTATTTTCTTCATTCTCTTTCGTATTATTCATTGTATTCTTTATATTATAATTAGACATTTGTCTTGAATTTATTAATTCAATATCATTAATAATAGAATTATTGATTAGTGTATTATATTCATTAGAATTCATTGATTGTTTATTTATTGATTCATTAATAATTGGTATTAAGATTTTAATAATTATTGTTGGTAATTCTTCAATATTCCCTTCAATATCATTTAATTGCCAATGTATATCAAATATTTCATTTGAATAATAATTAGAATCATTAATTTGATTATATTGGGATACATTTTCATGGTCTGTAAATAATTGCTGTAATAATAAAAATAAAAAAAATAGTTTTTGTTCTTTATTTTAATCATTAGTATTATATAATTAAGATGACCATTTTTGAATAAGAATAACTTTGTTTAGAAGAAGATTGTAATTGGTTTCAAGTGAAAATAATCTTTGCAAACAAATCATTTTATCATACTCTACAATTGTTACATAGTAACAGAAGGGGTTTTGTGGAGATTGTAGTAATTTCAACAGTTGAGATCATGAGTCAGTTGAGGCTAGACCACCATGAAAAACCTGGAAGAACTGGACGGTCGTTTAGTCCTATTGTGGGACGCCTCAACAGTGCGCATCCACGACCCCACCTCGCGAGATTCGAACCCAGGACCTATCAGCCGTACAGTGCTTTCAGGTTTTCCATGGTTGTCTAGCTTCAACTGACTTATGATCTCAATGGTTGCAATTACTACAATCTTCACAAAACCCCTTCTGATACTAATTAACATATGCTCACAAGTGACTGGCTTTAAGAGGTATATCCTGGATTTCTAGTTAGAAGCTGTAACCAGTGAAGTCCAACCGGGTCAGTTGTGAGATAGTAATTCACTGATGACAATGATCGATGTGTCACTCAATTTCGTCGATTAGTTGAAGTTAAACATTAACACTGATGGATGCCGGTTCAGTGGTCTAGTTGGTTAAGCGCCTGGCGCGAGACTGATAGGTCCTGGGTTCGAATCTCGCGAGGTGGGGTCGTGGATGCGCACTGTTGAGGCGTCCCACAATAGGACGAAACGGCCGTCTAGTGCTTACAGATTTTTCATGGTGATCTAGCTTCAATTGACTCATGATCTCAACTGTTGATGTTACACAGTATACCAACTTTATATTTCTCAGGATTAAACTATTCATTTAAATGAATTATATGGTTCTTGAAAGGATTGGGCAAGTAGGTAATGGTACATTTCTTTGAATATCTCACTCTTACAGATTCATTTTAGACAGCTCATTTGTACGATGTTAAATTCACTGAAGAGTATCAATTCCCTTAGAATTATAGATATGCCTTGCTGAGAAATACCAAATAGCACAAAAACTGAGTCTAGAATTTTATGGTGACTATCTTCAACCAGTTAAAATTAATTGCTAATCTGACGAGGCAATGTCATAGGCCACTTAATACTTAACATCATATTAAAAAGAATGAGTTACTTTTAAATGTTATTTAACCTTTTGAATTTCTAACAGACTTAAGTGATATTGAGTTTTGTCTTCAAATTATACAACTAGTTTTACGAATGGTTATTAATTGAACATTAGGAAATAGTTTCACAATACTGAACTCCATGGATGTGTGAGTTTGCGGTAACTGTGATAACATTTAAGATCTTCCGTGTTATCATTATTTTATGTTCAAAAATCTATTTCACTGCGTAGCGTCTATAAGTTAGAAAGATTGATAACATCAAGAATCATCGTCGCAAGAGTAAATTATGTAATATTTCAATGATAACGTCTCACATTACGACACTAGTTCAAATCATTGGAGAAGTAATTTTTCCATATTGTTGGTGGATGATAGTATAAATCTTGGATTAACAGTTTTTTCCCAACTAACAATTGGGATTACAATACCGAATGACGTGAGACTGAGGCAGTGTTAATCTCTTTGATGTTATGAATGGGAAATGATAGAATTTGTTATCATTTTACAAACCACAGATTTACGAATTTAATTTAAATATTTTTCTGTTAAATGAATTTAATAGTGAAAACCTTATTATTTCACTTACAAACCATTTTACAAAATTTAAATGAGACATTTGGACAACATTATTTTATATAATCAAAAGTAGTTATTATTGAAGTAGTTTTATTCTTCGAGTATTTGTACAAAGCAGTATAGTGTGTAGTAATATAAAACAATCCATATACGATATGTAAGTGATTGTTATCTTACAATCACTTATTGTATATGTGGTCGGTCCAATAAATCCGCACAATGAAGTACAATAATTTTTTGGTTAAACTTGAGCTGAACTCTTAAGAAATCCATAAAATTTTAAGAGGTTCCTAAAAACAACTCGTTAAAGAAAATTACTCTTTTCAAGTGGATCAATGAACAGCTTGAAGATTACATGGATGGTTTACGACTGTTAACTTCCAGCGCTTTACAAACTCAGATTTACATTCAAGATAGTTGATGACTGATTCAATTCGAGAAAATTATCTGTGCACTCAGATACTATATATATATATATATATATATATATATATATATATATATATATATATAACATGGTGTAAATCAAAAATCTATGTTTTTGAAATCTTAGAGTGTATGGATTCTGTTAGCTTTACACATACATCTTCTTGACAGAGTTTTCCACTGATTACTTCTAGCCATTTCATGTTAAATAGAATATAAAAACTATTTTATTAATCAGTAATATCGTGTGATAATTTACATGTTCACAGATCCATCATCATCATCATCATCATCATCATCATCATCATCATCATCACACAACTAAACATTTTACTTTTAACATTTATATTTATTTCAAAAGTTTTCTGAAATAAATATCTTTTTTAACGACTCTATTTATTAGATAAATACTAAAATTATTATTATTTTAATTCTTTCTTTTCTTTTTTCTTTCTCCATAGAAATTAATGTAAACATTTTCCGAGGTTAAGTCAACAATCAATACACATGTATACAACTACTGAATGATTTTCATTTATAATTATGGATAAGTTTACTTTTCAAAAACTATTCTATAAAAGATAAAAAAGATTAAGATAATTTATAGGTTGCTTACTATTTGTTATCCAATTCGAAATGATCAAATCATAGGATTATTATCATTACTGTTATCTATATATAGCTGAATTAACTAGTAATTTTTATGTGTTTATTGAACGGTAGTAAATATATGTAAATATAAATATAGAAATGGTGGTTTGAAAAAATTTCACTAAGAAACAATGAGTGAATACTATGGTTATTATATTATAACTAATCAATTTAAGGGGATCTAAGTGATTTCCAATTTTGTCAAACTAGTGAATAACAAAAGGATGGATAGTGGTTAGCTGTGCAATCCTGGACGAGCGTTTCGTTCAGCTGACGAGTCCCAAATAGGACGAAATGTGCGTCCTGGATTCCATTGCTGGCCACTATTCATCTTTGTCAATAGAGCTTGTGGTCCAAGGCAGTCTGCATGAGACTAATCAATTGCAGTCCTAAATAACAATGGGAAGATACAAGTAAACAGCATCAAGTGAATAATGTTCCTTTTGTTGACTGAACTATCGATTGTAAATTTACTCGGTTTAATTTGATTGCGATTGAAATTTATTCAGAATATAATCAATTAGTTTTTCAGTAGATATTTAAGAAGCTGTTGTTATTATCAGATTTCTGGAAATTGCTGGATCTGTAGTTTTATATCACGGAATGACTTTGTTCGACGACAAAAAAAGGCACTGGACAGTTCTTTAGTCCTAGTATGAAGCTCATCAGCAGCGGGGATCTGTGACCCTATCAGGGACAAAATTTAGAACCATCAGGACACACTGCGAAGGCTTTGCATCAAAATAACTGAGTGGGTATCTGATGACTGTCCAGTTGAAGCTAGTACGCGATATAAAACTACCAATAACTTTATTTAAAATGCGAGGTAAAGAACATCTGTAATAATGGTGGACGAAATATAGCACATATGGACTAAGAAATGGAGTCAGGGATAAGAATTTAATGTACATAATAAGAACGATATCATTTGCCAATGTTATTCATCGAACGATCGTCATATGTGAAAAAAATTTTTGGTTTTACACAGGATCTAAAATTTATTCAATTAATGGATAATTGGAAAAATTTATCACCCAAGTTTCTATTTTTAGTTCCGGTATGGTTCATAGATGAGTTTATTTATGTGTATCAGAAACTTCACGAACTTTCACTGTTGACTGAAGTTTGTGAAATATCTTGTGTATTATATCTTCCAAGTTGATTCCATTGACAATATTCTGAACTGTTTGCTTGTGCATGATTGAAGAACCAATGAAATTACTGCTTAAACACTGAAAGTCGTATTACATAATTCTTGTTTAAATATTTTCCTATTTCAATGTTTGCTAATTTAAAATTTTATTAAGTGAATGAGGGGTTAAAATTGATATTGTAAAAGTAGTTATGGAAATGATTTTTTTATTCGTTAGGGTTCACATTATCCTGTAGTCGTTATTCTGAATTAAATACTGATCAGCCTTCGCTTGTATATTCCTATATTTAGTGAATACCTCATTGTAGCACATTTGTGAGAACATTAACACTGAGATTCAAGTTCTTTCAGCTGGCAAGTTCAAATTTGGATGAAAAATGATTCGTAAATTACTTGGTTAACCATTATCTAAATATATTATTATACCATTACTTGTATTCGACAATTATGCAGTAAATTATACTCAAAACTCATTCAAAGTTATGTTGACAAGAGTATAAGATCTCTCGATGTTTAAAATCCATCTAAGTTACTAATGCAAGGTTAAAAGATTACTCGCAATAGCTAGGAGTATCAAAAAAGCTCAGACGATAGGTAGGAATAACATCGGTTATGAATTATCAACTCGAAACCGAAAGAGATGCAACTGTTCTATGATACCTGAAATTAGTCATTATTTAACCGTTTTGTTAACATTTTAATAGACCAAGTTTGAGTTCGTTTATATTAAAATATGATTAAATTTTTTATGAACACATGACTATTACTCAGTAGAATAGTTGAGACTTTTAGGATATAGGAATTCTAAAGACAGGTATTACAGTGGAAATTATTTTGCAAAAACAATCCAAAGTAGAGCTTATAACAAGCTTTTATGACTTGTCAGTTATAGTTACTAAAAAATAAGAATGCCAATTCTCTCTATCATGTGTGGTCAGTTTATACTAATTTCTTTACGTGTAGTGTACTATAATATCCAGACAATTTGTACATAGTTGAATGTGTTACATGCATAGTTCAAACTAGCTACTATTAATTAGTCAATGAAGACGTAGCAGTTTGCAATTTACAAGTGCTGATCATTTGGACAAAGAATTTTTAATCGGCATTTATAGTTCTAAAAATAAACAAATATTTACATCAAGTGTCTAGGACCGAGTAATGAATATTTTTCATTATTTCAGTGACTAATGTGTAATAAATTTCGCTCTCACAGAATTTTGAATTTCGTAGTCGGTCGACATATTTTCGAACCAAAGCTAATAATTTACTTATTATTGTTTGGCTTGTATCTTCCCATTGAGGTTTAAGACTGCAATTGATCAGTCTGTTATTGGTATATGTGCATACTGTGCGTATGCCTCGATATTGCCTTAATTCACAAGCTTTTTGTAAGCAATGATGGATAGTGGCTAACAGTGGAATCCAGGACGCGCGTTTCGTTCTGTTTGGGACTCGTCAGCTGGATGTACCTGCATCTCAGAGTTGATGTTCACTCTGGGACTCGAACCCAGCTAATAATTTTCATAGTTTAATATCTATATTTTCCTACAGAATCACTCTGACTAACGAAGCTTGATGTGCAAAGGCGACAGAGATGCTATGAAAATAGTGTCGTCACTTAGAGATGCTATTAGAGACCAGTAAGCATTGAACAGTTATTTTTGATTCTCATTTAAGACTTTTCTGTGTTGCATCCCCACAATCACACGTGAGGATAAATCTAGAGCCCTTATAGATCATCACGATAATGATGTTTAGAATAGGGTATAACAACTCTCTAGGGTTCCATATCATTTAGAAGTTCTTGATCTAAAATTAGTCCATAACGAAAGCTGAACTTAACGTTAGCAAATATAAACAAAATGCCCATTTAAATATTGCAAACGTTAACTCATGTGCAACATGATGATACAGAAATCAGAGTTCCACCAAACGGATGATGTTACATGTTATTGGAAGTAGATAAATCTCACTTCACAGAAACTGGTCTAAGATATTTTGATATGAGTCCTTGGGATTCGTTCTCATTCATTTTTCATTGTTTTCGTTTTGTGCTAAATAGCATCAAACAGAATAGAACCAGATTCTGAACTGTTGAAAGCATTTGGAGGAGATTTACGTAATCACAATTTATGCCAGTTTATATCATGCAATATACTGACGAACTTAATGATGAAGAAATTCTAATCTAGAAATATTTTGTAGATTATCCTGAATTACCTTTGAGTTTTGCAAAGATGTCAACGTTCTGATTTACTGTAAGTACTTAGATTTTTATTTAGAATAATAACCCCTAGGTTTGAATGTTTTATTCGATAGGGTTTTAATTAGTCCTATACTAATATGTGTCAATGAATTAAATGAGCTAAAAATTTCTTGAATGATTTAATAAACATTCGGATACTTTAGGATTTATTTTTGATCCATTTTACCACATTTATATTATTATTACTACTACCAATATGGATATAATCATTTTTTTGGACTTCTTAAAGCCATGTTTGTAAGAATCTGTATTGTTACCAGTTCCCAACGGTTAAATGTCGTCAAATGGTCACTGTTTGAGTATCATGAATTTGTAATCATTTATTAGTCTTGGTTCAAAGGATATCTTCACGTAAGAAAGAATAATATGTCGATATTTCTATATTTTTAGCTACTGTATATTCATTTATGTGTTTATCTACTAATGTGCATGTTTTCATATATTGACATGATTTACTCTACATATGAATGGTATTTGACATTAATAAAATGATATGATCAAGTTCCAAAGCTAAATATACTTTAAAAAAATACAGTTAGAAGTCTTTATTAAAGTGAACATCAAATCAACTAATACTAATTCATACAAAAGTTTCTGAGACTATCATTTTATGGTACAACAGTAGTTAAAATGGTATAAAACAATTTCCAAGTTAGTTGTATTTTGAACACTCAAACGTTTTAGTCTAATATGTCTGGTGAAAATTCTGATTTCGACATTTGGTAAAAAAGGAACGAATCGAGTGGAGAAATTTCTTTTCAATTAGTTTTTCATCATGGCTCTACACTAACAAAACATGTATGATTTAAAATAATGATATAATACTCATTGAGTAGTTTTGTTATGCAATAATTATATAATGACGTGTTGATTATAAAATAACATTGAGTAATTGGAAGAAAGGGGATTACAATAATCAAGGTAATTATTTAAAAATCAAGTATTTGGTACGTTGCGAAATATATAAGAAAAAGGAACTAATAAAGTATTTTGATGAGAGGTGAGTATTATAGTAGTTATATAAGAATCAAGGGATGAATGTTGAAAATAGGTAAAATACAAAAAATAGAAGAAAACAGATATTAGTTCAAATATTTCTGAAGAAGGTTTCATCAAAATTCTGCCACAAACTCAATTCTATACCGATGGTCAAGGTAGAGAGAATACTTGTACAAACCTATTTTGGATGCATAGATTTGGCTTTTGAACATGGATTCCAATGGCTTCAACAGTGTGCGAAATTCGAACTCGTATACTAAGGGGCAAATTTGATGGAATATGGTGGATAACCTTAAAAGCTTTATGCAGTTTTCCTTCATGGCCTGTGTCTATCAAGTGAGTGAGAATAGAACTTTTAATCACTCTTAGCTGTTCTTTGCTCAACCAAGACGGATGGTATTCTGTTGTGCGATGGTGGATTTGCCTAATTGTACACCCTATGTAACGCGCTCCACAGGAGCAGTTGAATTGGTAAGTACATGAGGATGTGGTGAATTCAGGCAATCTACCTTTATTAACGGTTCTTATTGTGTTTGTGTGTGTATGTGTGTGTGTGTAGAAAACGACATTCAGTCTGGCTGCATTAAATGTTTTCTGTACCTCCTTTCTTAACCTGTGAGTTACAATTTCCTTGACAGCACGATTTGGGAATTGTAATTTTGAGAACAGAACTTTCATCGGAACGATAGGTACCTTTGTTATTATTTTCATCTCTTTTTAGTGTTTGTTGATAAATTTCGTTGGGTATCCATTCCTACAAAGTAGGTTACGAATATTAATCAGTTCATCTACAATGGTGTCATCCAAGTAAATCATCCTAGAAGGATTAGTTAGGACCTTTACGAAGTCCGGAATATATATATGTATATATATCTGGGAATTTGAGGCAGATATTAGAAGGATGAATGGCACTTGAAAATAACTGGAAAGGAGAGCCCATAACAAATTTGACTGAGAACCATGATCGGCGTTCTATGCTCCACGAAAGGCAACATATATAGGTAGCCAACTAATTAGTTAAGAAGATAGGCAGGTAGGTCAGCAAGTAAGTATACATGTATGTATGTGTGCATGAATGATAACTGATGACTGAACGTGTTGGCAAAGGAAGTGGTCTTCTGGCAATTGTTTGACGCTAACTTAGGTATATGAATATGGTGTCTGACGGTTTAGACAATATTCTACAGTATACTTGATTATCATATAAGAAAATGGAAATAACTCAAAGAGTCATCTCGAATAAAATGTATCTTATAAAATACACAAGTGACTGATGAAACATATTTAAAGAGAGAATAATCACTAAGTTACAACAAGAACTGATAATAATTAAACTTTCTATAATATTTAACATACTTGTTTGGCGATTGATCTTTGGTGTTCAGTAACATGCCAATGATTTAAAGCACTTGTTAGTGACTTAAAACGAGTGATAGATTGTTGAGATGATTTGTCAGATGACATTAAATTAATATTGGGACTACTAGATGAAGGGGATGAACAATTTATCAATGATGGTATGAACGGTAAATAATTTTTATGACATACATAAACAACTTGTAAGTTTGTAAGGATTGACGATAATTGTAATAAAATCTTATTGAACTTTGTTTGATATTTCAAATTATTCATACTGTTTAGGGAAGAGTCTGTATGTGTATTATTGGTCTCGTCATCATTATCATTTTCATCTATAAGAGACTTCAAAAAATCAACATAGAACAAACTTAAAGAAGCTAAGGTATTCCATAGATAATTGCGTCGATTGACTAAATGTGTAAATATCTTCACAGCTCCAATGTGACTAAGTGTTTGACAATGTAATCGGAATTTATGCACTGAAGTTGTAAATAAATCACAGGCTATACAGTACAACTGTATTGATGATGTTAAATTGAAATTGTTTTTGACATTATTGCAATTACTGCTATTGTTACCTACATTACTACTGTTATTATTATGAGTAGTAAGATTAGTCGTTATATTCAATGATGATATATTATAATTCGGTGCTTTTGTAATTGAACATTGTATATTATTGCTGTTACTGACATCTAATATTTTATTTTCACAAATATTTAAAGTTGACAGAATGCGTGACTGGTTCCATAAACCACCTTCGCAAACATGTACAAGAAAACTTAATCTTTGCGCATGTTTTTCTGTTTTACAATGTAATTGGAAATTAGCTTTTAAAGGACTTTTATAAGAGCATAGTTTACAGAACCAAAAACCATTTGTATGTAAAGTTATTAAATTCGTAACATAGTCTAAATCAAACGGTACGCGATTCCGTTCGACATGTTCAATCAAGACATCTAAATTATCCGTTGTAAATGTACAACATACTTGGCATGCTAATGGATGATTTGCTGTTTCAGTAAGATTACATAGTAGATTATCATGAGATGATGTTAGAGGTATGAATGTTTTCAATGGATGATCATAACAAAAAGAGGACGAATCAATAACAGAAGATGAATATGAAGAATAGCTAGGTTGATGCATTCTATCTTCACCATTAGCTAAACCTAGTTCATGAAAATTTGTAATGGCTTTATTTATATTTATATTATCTATGACTTTTTCATTCTCATTTTTTTGCTGAAGAAATTCAACAGTTTTTTGATTTAGTTTCATATTTTGTTGCAACGATGATACTGTTCGTCTTTCAGACAATGACTGTGCAGTTAAAATGTTCAAATCACATGATGAGTTTGATTTTTTACTGGCTGAATTTAGATGGGCAAGATTTTGATGCAGATTATTTTGTTGATGGCGAGTGCAATCAGGACTTTCACTATGATTACTTCTTGTATCAGCTGTATTGAATATTGTTTGAGACATTGTTTGTTCGTGCTCCTATAATTAAAAATACAGCAAATAAAAAACTATAAACGAACGTTTAAAAAACATGTGCATACGATTGAAAATTTTCTAGTTATGATGTGTGAATAACGGAAAAATATACCTAGGAAATCGATAGAGTTTTTTGAGATAGGTCTGAAATATTGTTAAAGCTACAAAGTAATAGACAACTACTATACCTCCAAAACATTCTATTATCATAACACAACGTGGCGACTACTGAATCGTAATATTAAGGTCATCATAAATAAATGGATAAACGTTAATAATTGAGATCATGAGTCAATTGAAGTTAGACCACCATGGAGAACCTGAAAGCACTGGGTGGCTATTTCGCCCCATCTTAGGACTCGTCATCAGTGCACATCCACGATCCCGCCTCGCAAGATTCGAATTCAGGACCTATCGGTTTCGCGCGCTAGCGTTTAGCCTCTAGATCACTGAGCCGGCATCCAATGGTGTTAATGTCTAACTTCAACTAATCCATAAAATTGAGCGACATACTGCTGAGGACGAAACGGCCTTCCAGTGCTCCCAGGTTTTCCATGCTGGTCTAGCTTCAATTGACTCATGATCTTAACTATTAAAATTGCTATAATATCTACAAAAACCTCTTCTGAAATGAATAAACGTTGACGTCATAAAGTGAACTACACAAAACGAATGTAAAAAAATTTTATTTCATACTAAAGAAATCTTACCTGAAGATTATTTAGATGTTTATCCGATTGTTGATGTATCGCTAAATTTCCTTTTGTTGTAGTAGAATAATTACATATTTCACAACGATATGGTTTATAACCACAAATATAAGTTTCGCCTCGTCCTAATCTTGGATGTGCAGTTTTTGTAACACAATAAAGGCATGAATTAGTTGATACTCCGTTAGACTCTTTAGTTTGTGATTGTTGTTGTTTAAGCATAGTTAATGAAGATGAATACTTTAGTTGACCAGAGGAAGAATACGGATTTGAATGTTTGCTAAATGCTAATTTTGTAAATGTTTTATTCATAGATTATACAGTCGTGTTTCAATGTTTAAGATAGTTATTTATTATGACTAGTTCAGTAGAAATATACACTATGATTTCAATCAATTTCTGTTGATAAAAAAAGAACAGAAAAATGTTTATTATAAAAATGAACAGTTGTGAGATAAGGAAATTAGTAATAAATGGAGTTTTAAGTACTGGTGACTCGATGTAAGGGAAATGATTAATTAGCTGTATCGATATGGAGTTACAGAGATTATTAAGTTTTTGATTGAGATCATGAACCGATTGATGTTAGACCACCATTGAAAGCCAAGAAGCACTGGACAGTTTATCTCACGAGCCGGATGGCGTATGAGCACTGCTGAGGAGTCTTACAATAGGACGAAACGAACGTCCAGTGCTGTCAAGTTTTCAATGGTGTTCTAACATCAATCGGTTTATGATCACAATCAAAGATTAATTAGCAGCTTGGAGTTCTGAGACTTGACTTCTTAATGATTATTTGTATATAACCTTTTTCCAGTTGAATATGAAGACCTTTAGATGTGTTGTAAATTTAATTTGTTAGCTTTGGATATTTTTAGTGCAGAAAGAGATATTGTTATATGTTTAATATGAAGTTTACTGGAGTGATTTATATTGATTGTTAATCAATTTTAACATTTATTTCAGTGGTTGGGGAACCACCAAACCTGACAAACATTCAATAACCATTTCTTTATATAAGTTATCTCATCAAAAGTGTATAACCACGAAAATATCTTTTTGGTTTCATGCCACCCATTATAAGATTCATGTAGATAATCAGAATACCTCAATTAATTTTCACTACAACAAGATTATTATCACAATATTGGTAATATGTTACTACTCCATAGATCTCGACTTTCTACTACATGACTTAGACTTTTGAATCAAAGCAAAGATTAATCTGTATTTCAATACTTAGATAAATACCAACTTCCGATGAAAGCACCTAATTCAAAAAATACATTTACATTTATACATTATTTTCAAGTACCATTTTCATTCAATCCTATTTAATTATCAAGAAATAAATAATTTTTTAATGACGTTTGAATAAAAAAATTATTTCCAACTGAAGAAAACTTTTTTTTAGAAATTTATGGTCACTTTTGACCACTTATAGATTTTGAATACAAAAAAGAGAGAAAAGTAAAGAAGAGAAAACCACAATGTAATTTGAAATAAATCAAATTAAAATGATCAATTCGTTTTGGTTGTTATTTCATGATGCCTTTCTTTTTTTATTTCTTTTTTCTCCCTTTTCTTCTTCTTTTTCTTCTTTACTGTTTTGTACCTATCACTAATATTTTTGAAAATAATTAAATATCCTATCTACTGTATTATGATGATTTGAACAAGATGAAATCATATAATAAAATGTCTGGCTGAGAAAAGTGTTCTTTTTCTTTTTAAATGAGAAAGACAAGTGTTCCCTCTGTGTATTTCTTCACTTATTTAATAACACTTAATAAATTAAAATATTCATTCATTTGAGACCAGATTTCATCTAGACAATAGATTGGTTAATTTTAGTAAAACATATAAAAGATAAAGAATGTTACCACACTAAATAAAATTAATGATGCTTTTTTTTAATTAAAAAAAGGTCTTGAGTAGAGAACACAACTTAGATAAGAATTAATAATCATATGAAGTTGATTTTCGGTAATATTTTTAATTATGTCACTTAATTGAGATTAAGTGATAATTGACTAGTTTATAATGAGATTATCTCTTTTATACATGAAAGGAAAAAGTGGATATTTAAGAAGGACTAATTCATTGAAATCAAATTTTGAAGATCAAATCAATTAGCCATATATTTCTTTTTTGTTTATTAAAAATAAAGTTCAACCGGATCAGTTGTGAGGTGACAGTGGTGGATGTGTCGCTCACTTTCATGGATTAGTTGAAAGTAGACATTAACACCGGCTCAGTGGTCTAGAGGTTAGGAGTTCGAACGCGAGACTGATAGGTCCTGGGTTCAAATCTCGCGAGGTGGGATTGTGGATATGCACCGCTGAGGAGTCCTACAATAGGACGAAGCGGCTGTCTAGTGCTTCCAGGTTTTCCATGGTGGTTTAACTTCAAATGACTCATGATGTCAACTATTAAAATAAAATAGTTATGATGAACAATTTATGTGGATCATTTTAAATTCAGTTAAAAGGAGGAAAATTACAAACTATGGGCTGATATTTATTAAGTGGAACACTTTCAGTCATAGTATGTCGATTTTTAAAAAAAATAAAAACATTCTACATATTTGATATAAAAAATTAAATTACTCAAATAATCTCTCAGTTCATATAGAAATCTTACTGCAATAAATGAGTTCGTGTACAAGAATTTCTTTATTGTGAATAATAATTGGTGATTTTCTGTGCTCAACAATAACAGAAAAAAAACTGGGCTATAACACAACTTCGATTATTCTCTGTAATAATAATAATTAATTAAATGAAAATATTTAGTTTAGGCCATTTTGGAAAATTATATTTTAAAAATTATCTAAAATGAAGGGTAATCAGTAATTACTACTATTTTCAGATGATTAGTTTTAATTATTCAACCCAGATACTTGTTTCTTTGCATTATTGCCTACATTCCTTATAAACGTAATGTGGTCACTGAATTTTCATGTCAAACGTGTTATTATCAATGAATTAGTGACTTGAAACCATAATGATTATAACATGTTCTTCTCATATGGTGAATTATATGATTAAGGTATTTTCGTTTACGTTATATTGTTTGATATGATCAATGTGTTGTTTTTATATTACTTAGTGGGAATGGACAGTCCATAGTGCGATAAACTCAGTACTAAAGTAAAATGTATCTCAAAATTTATTCATCACTTTGTAGTCTCACTTAATCAAGTTATTTAAGAGAACTGAAAGATTTATGATAGCTAAAGAGAGTAGTTTCGCACTCTGCTGATCATGATTTTCACTAACACCACTTTTAAATCAGAAGATTATGTGCCTAGGTAAATTTTTGCCTGAATTTAAATGAAAAGTTTAAGGAAGTAAAAATATCCGAACAATGCAGTTTAATTTTCAGTGTGAGGTTGTGGAGATTGTTGAATCTCATTGAGATTATTAGGCAGTTACCCACTGAAGAAAATGGAAGATGGTCACGCAATGTCGTGAACTGTTTTCGGCTCATTGGTCTACAGATTAAGCGTTCGCATTCAAGACGGAAGGTCTTGAGTTCGATTCTTACGTGCGAACTTATGGATACGCACTATAGAGGAGTTTAATACTAGAGTGAAATGGCCGCCCAGTGCTTCCAGATTTTCAAAAGTAGTCTAGCTAAGATTAATTCATGATTACAATGCAAAACAGTTTCGGACATCCTAGAATAATATTGGTGAATAGTTAATCAAACAAATTTGGAAATAGGTATACTGTTATTCAATTGATGGCATATATATAACCTCTAACAATGGCTACATATGTATTCATAGTATGACAAGTAAATAATCAAGCTGATATTTGCTCTTTCAGGAGTGTGTAACATTGATATGTGATTCACAATAAAATGAAATTTAAGTTACCCTTTTATTCATGAATAACATTTGGACAAACTTACTTTACCTTAAACGCAATCATACAATATAAATCAATACTTTAAAAGTTTCTGTGAGAAAACTAGTCTCAAGTTAAATAATCAACAGGGTAAGTGATAAAATGCCAGTTTGATATAAAATTTGAAATATTAGCTATTTTTAGGTTGTTTTATTTATTTATTCTTTATTTGAACACACAAATATTCGTACAAAGGGTCACTGAATACATATGCGCCATATAAATCAAATGATTTGTATGTGGGCTTTGATACTACCCGGGTGCCCAGACCGAAGCAGATGGTTTTCTTAGAGGGCTACACCCGGAGCCTTTGACGTAAAGGTCTGATCCACAAGGCAGTGGAGCGATGTTGGGAGATGCAGTCTCATGGTAGCCGGTGACCAACGATTGGTTCATACGCCATTTGTTCCCTCAGTATCCTGGTGCCCATGTGCACCATTGGTTTGGAATCAGGGTTTTCCAACTCCCTAAGATGGATCCTCCATATCCACCAACCCAGTTAAGTCGCCGGATATCCGCTTTTTCTCCTCTTAATTTCGTAAACAACACCCTTGTCGCGGTAATGCAATGAGTAGGATTTCCCTGGAAGTGGCTGTATACGTATGACCATGTGAGAGCATTTGGGGGGGGGAGAGCTAATTCTCCCCACCCTCGGCCGTACTAAGGCATTTGGGGGCTAAGTATGAATATTCAACCTAGTCTGCCGGTAACTTCACATACGGTGTTGTTTGAGGTAACACGCCATTGCGTGCACCAATTACCCACACCGACGTTTTCCGTAGTAGTAGTAGTAGTAGTAGTAGTAGTAGTAGTAGTAGTAGTAGTAGTAGTAATAGTAGTAGTAGTAGTAGTAGTAGTAGTAGTAGTAGTAGTAGTAGTAGTAGTAGTAGTAGTAGTAGTAGTAGTAGTAGTAGTAGTAGTAAGGTTAATCGATTATTTCATGTATCTGGTTTATCAAAAAGGGGTTAAGTGGAATGCAAAAATGAGATTTGCAATATGAAACAAATTTTTTGAGATTGTTGCATTTTAACAACATATAAGACAAAATGGGCAAATTTACAAGAGAAAAAGGTTATTATTATCAGTTTAACTCTTGAGATTAAGAACTAATCATTAACTTGTAATGATTTAGTTGGTAAACAAACATCATATCAAATAAAAAAACTAACGTAATTGAGACAGTACGGAGTTTAACACAAATTAAACGATGAGCTTTTAAGGTTTTTTGAAGGATAAATGGGTGAACAATATTTCTAGAATACTGTCGACAGTTTTATGGCTTAACATGATACAAGGCTACAAAAAGGGACATTAGTAGTTACACTGAGGTTGAATTTCAAATTGTGTATTGATAACAGCTTATTTGAACGGGAAAGTCCTACAACACTGACTGAAAGGAATGGGTTTGAACTGAGAAATTGGAGAGAG